TCGATATGGATTACATCTCAATGTTAAGAAAACAAAAACCCTCACCACTGGACCAATAAACAACATTCTTATCAGTGGAGAAAAGATTGAAGTTGTCAAGGACTTCATTCTTCTGGGATCAACTATCAACATTCGCGGAAGCAGCAGTCAAGCGATCAGACGACGTATTGCATTAGGCAAATCTGCTGCACAAGACCTTTTCAAGTGTTGAAGAGCAAAGACGTCAGTTTAAGGACTAAGGTACTCCTGACCCAAGCCAGGTATTTTCAATAACTTTCATATGCATGCTGGACAGTGAATAAGGAAGACCGTAGAAGAATTGATGCTTTTGAGTTATGGTGTTGGAGGAGAATACTGAACGTGCCATGGACTGCCAAAAGAACCAATAGATCTGTGTTGGAAGAAGGGCAGCCAGAGTGCTCCTTAGAGGTCAAGATGGCCAAACTTCGTCTCATACTTCGGACATGTTGTCAGGAGGGACTAGTCGCTGGAGAAGGATATCATGTTTGGTAAGGTGGAGAGTCAGAGAAAAAGAGGAAGACCCCCAACGAGATGGATTGGCCAAGTGGCAGCATCAATGGACTCGAGTGTGGCAACGGTAGTGAGGTTGGCCCAGGATCGGGCAGTGTTTCATTCTGCTGTGCATAAATAAGGTCGCTATGAATCGGTACCGACTCGATGGCATCTAACAACAACATTGCTGGTGTGGCTCTGTGGGTTACTGCGCCAGACTGCAAAGCCGTTTGAACTGCAAAGTCTGTGGTCCAAGCTCACCAGCTGTCCCTCGGAAACCGTATGCAGTGTCGTTCTGGGTTGGAATAGACTCAACGGTACTTAATAACAACAACATTGTTGTTAAGTGCCTTTGAGTCAACTCATAGCAACCGTGTATAGAGTTTTCGAGGTTATAAATCTTTTACCCTGTAAGGTGAGTCCTGGACTGTGAGCCACCAGCCATTCTGCTGGTGAAGAGTAGGCTTTTTGCTCCTACTAAAATGTATAGCCTTGGAGCCCCTCTGCAGGGTCGCTATGAGTCGGAACCTGCTCGAAGTCACTTAACAACAAAAAAAACCTTTTTACTGGAGTAGAAAGCCTCATCACGCAGAGGGGCTGGTGGATTCAAACTGCTGACCTTGTGGTTCACAGTCCAATGTGTGAAGTGCCTTTGAGTCGTTTCCAACTCATAGTGACCCTGTATAGGGTTTCCAAGGAGAGGCTGATGGGTTTGAACCGCCACCTTGTGGCTCAAATCGGCCCTGTGGTCCAGGGCTTTTTGTCATGGGCACGCGGGGACTTGGCGTCTATTAGCATATCCTCAACGTGTTCATTAGCATTGCAAGCGCGGGACTCATTTCTCTCCTAATGGTTTTCGGATTTTGATTGTAAGAATTTTTAAATGCCTGTCTTCCTTCATTAGAACAGTGTCGGGAACAACGGGGGCGTTAATAAACATTTCTTCAGTGTTTACATGAAGAAGCATGACGAGCCTACTTTGTTTAGTTTCAGCTAAACCTCGAGTAAGAAACGCCATGGCAAAGAGACGCCAGATAAACACAGCTGCTGGAGAGGCGGCGCCGCCAGAGGGGTTGCTGCGCATGCGCCTATCGGTAAACCTGCTGGGCGGGGTCGCATGGCTTGTGACGCTATTTTAAGCTTCGTGACGTAGCTTTGCGCGCCAGAGTGAGGCGGGGAGTAGCAGCTGAGTGCCGGCCCGCCCTCTTCCACCAGCACTGAGTGGATGGAAACATCTGTCCCACGTGCCGGAAGTCAGCTGCAGACAACGACGACACGCCAGTTGGTGTCTCACCGCGCCGAGACCCTGCGGGTGTCCTCGCGAGACGAGCTCGCCGAAATGGCTGCGTCCGGTCAAGGTAAAGGCCGGCGCCCTGCCGGTGCCGGGCGCGGAGGAGCTGCCTTGCTTAGTCCGCCCCTGCCCGTCCTGCCGGAGCTCCCCGGGAAGGCTGAGTGGCGTGGGGCGGGGAAAGTGGCCGGCGCCCGGGGCTTGTCCCGGCCCAGCCGTTCCCAGCGTCCAGTCAAGGTCACGCGCCTGGCTGGGGCCGAGCCTCCCCTGGGTGTCGCCTCCCGTCCAGCGCCGCCCCAAGTAGCTGCCGCTCGGGGACATTCCGTCCCTGTTCTCGGAAGCGCTCTTGCCCGTGGAGACTAATGTGTGTGCTTTGTTCGTTTGTGCTTTCCTGTGCAAGCCCGACAGGCCCGGGGCTGTGTGCAGGGCGCCTCTCAACTTCGTTATGGATGGTTTGGCGCGTTTGTGTGCCAGCGGAGTGGCTGGTTAGGGGGCAGTTCGTCTGCATTGAGCTTAACGATGGTGCTCACAGCCATAGGCCCAAACGGCTCACTTAGGTAGCAGTAAATTCGGTTTAAAGACAAAGGTGGTGAAATACCCAAGTCATCACTCGGTCACCGGTAATCAGGTTTTAGTATTGTGGGGTGAGGGGGGCGATCCAGGATATGGTAGGCTACAGTCGTATGACCAATCACTGGGGGTCTGGGGGGGGTGTGTGCCATAGCTACAGATCCCCCCCCCCCAAGCTGCTTCAATACAGACCAGCATACGTTCACGTTCAGCGTAGGCGACTGTATGGGTCAGCATGGACAGTCGGTCAGTTTCCTTCAGTCTCAGAAATGCTGAGACAGTTGGAAGTTGACGTCATGTGGCGTGGTGATCACTAACCCTGTGACCACTGGCTTACTGGGCCAGGAAGCCTGGCCTATGGCAGAAAGGTGTGCCTGCGAGGCCGAGGCTGAGGCCGAGGCCGGGGCAGACCTGCCGCCATCAGCCGTCGGCCATCCCGCCGGTTCACCAGGTCAGATGCCAGCTGTCCCTGCCACAGCCCTCCCAGGGCATACTCCCAATTATGGGGGCGCTATTAGGGAAGTTTCAGGTGACAATTCAGCTGCGGGAAGCCTCCTCAAACTGAGTCAAAGGGGTTAAAAAGCTCTTTTAGCTCTGCCAAAAATGTTAAAAAGATGAAAAAAGCATTGCCACTGATAAAAAGGAATATTTATTGAATTCAAGTACTGTGCTAACTGCTTTCCATGGCTAATTGCATTTAATCACAACTTCTTGAGGTTTGTAGATGAGGACCACATGTCTTAAAATATTTAACTATTTAAATAGCAATGCCAGCTAGTCAATTCCCACTCATAGCAACACTGTGTATGGTTTCTAAGGAGCTGCTGGTGAGTTTGAACCACCAACCTTGGGTTCAAACCGACCTTATGGAAATCGAGACACTGGGGACTTGGATTTCTGTTTGCTTCCCCTGACCCAAATCTCCCAACCCTTTGTTGTGTGTTCTGAGAAGGCGACCATGTTGTTTGTTGGTAGGTGCCATGGAGTGAAACAGTACAGCTGCCCCATAGAGGTTTCTAGGAAAAGCTAGAGGAGTAATTATAAACTTAAGATTTTTGTCTCTACTATAGGTATTAACATTGTCTTAATTTAGTGTGATTTTCCAAAAATTGTTAGTTGAAATTTTAAAGTAAACTTCTTAGTTAAAAATGAATGCCATTTGTTTCTTCAAAAATTTCTTAATCTATTTAGGAATGAACGGAGCTCTGGTAGCATAGCGGTTACGAGTCGGGCTGCTATAATCTCACGGTCAGCAGTTCGAAACTACCAGCTGTTGCGTGGGAGAAAGATGAGGCTTTCTGCTCCCGTAAAGATTTACAGCCTCAGAAACCCTGTGCAGGGTCTCTATGAGTCAGAACCGACTCCACAGCACATAACCACCACCATTTAGGAGTGGTAATGAATTATTACTAATTATCTTAATGTTATTAGGAAACTTTGAGAGAAGTTTGGAGTCTCTGGACCTCGCCGAGTTTGCTAAGAAGCAGCCATGGTGGCGTAAGCTGTTCGGACAAGAATCTGGCCCCTCTGCCGAAAAGTATAGCGTGGCCACACAGCTGCTCATTGGAGGCGCCATGGGCTGGTGAGTGATGTCACACATGTCCAGTTCGTTTGGGCAAGATTTAACAAATGGGAACACATTGACTTTTGTGAGTTGGTCACATTGTGTAGCATTCATCTCGACACTGGGTTTTCAAGTACTGTTTAGTGATTACACATAATGAATACAGGTAGTCTCTGGGTTACAAACAAAGTTGTATGTGCCGCAAGTAAAGCGAATTGTGAAGAATTTGTGGCAAGCAGGAAGGAGCTGGTTCTTCACAATTGGCTTTACTTGTACGTAGGGTCACTGTGAGCTGGAACCCACACAACAGAGGTCAGTGGACTTTTCTCCCAGTCATAACCTGGGGAAGTATTATATAGTTCACTTCTTTTCACAGCAACTCCATGAAATTGGTCATTGTCCTCTTTATTATTGTTGTCAAGTGCCATTGAGTTTGTTCCAATTCATGGCGACCCTGCATCTGGTTTCGGAGGAGGAGCTGGTAGGTTTGAACCACTGACCTTGTGGTTCGCAGACCAGTGCTGATCTACAGCGCCACACCAGCAGTTCTAGCTATCCTTATCCTCCTCCATTTTTAGAAACTGAGGATCAGATAGGCTGCGCATTCCATTCCTGGCTCTTCTATCTTGGTGTTCGTAGGTGCCTCGGAGCTCTGCTCACTTCTTCCTCCTTTGATTGACTCAAGATACAACGCATTCCTTCGGATTGCATCTGACCTTGTTAACATCATAGAAGGGCAGCTATACAACACATGGGACAGATCACATGAGACCCCCATCATGGGGGTGACTGCATTATGTTAAGGGTTCATCGTGGAGGTGATAACTGCCTCGGAACGGCTGAACTAGCACAATCAAGTTTATTTTTTCCTGTTGTCTTCTGGCTATTCCATATACTCACTGCCAGTGAGTCACTTCTGACTTACAGTGGAGATTATATATATATATACACACATATATATACATTATATATATGTGTGTGTGTGTGTGTGTGTATAGGGTTTCCAAGACAGTAAAACTTTCTGAGAACAGATAAACTCATCTTTCTCCTGTGGAACCCCTGGTGGGTTTGAACCACCTAGGGGATAGGTGTAGTCGCTGGACCTAATTGCTTTTGAAATGCTAATTTCTCATTGTTTATATATAGAAAACCAACTGATTTTCGTGTATTGATCTTGTGTGCTGTAACCTTGCTAAAATCACTTTTCGTTTCCAGTAGCTTTTTTAGCTTTTCCATAGGTTTTTCTCCCTAGCCAATTACTATTGTCTGCAAAGAAAGACAGTTTTGCATCTTCCTTTCATATTTTAATGACTTTTGGTTTTGTTGCTTTCTCTTACGGTGTTTAATAGAAATAACGAGAGCACACATCCTGATCTGTGGTAGGCAGAAGCTTCCCATCAGTGATTCCAAAAGTGCTCTAGAAACAGTTGTTATCAAAATCCCAAATCAACTGCCTTTCAGCTAGGTTCTCACACAAGCCTTTTCAAGGGAGACCGTTTTCTCCATCTGGTGGCAGAAGGGGATGTCAGAGAGATTCAAAACTCAAGAACTAATCAATATTCCATTTCCAACTTTGATTACAAAGGGGGCCACGTGCACAGGCTGGAGAGCAGTTGCAAGGCAGCCCTATGACTTGGACCCGACTTTTTCCGAATGGCTTATGGGCTGTCACTCTGTATTGTGTCATCTGAGCAGATGAACGGATAGTCAGACCTTTACCAAAAGTTTCCTTCCACCTCTCCCCGCCTGCCCTTGCTTTCTGTTGTCAAAGCGTTTACTTGTCGACATGTCATAAATCCATACTAGTCGTCTTATTTTTGCATTAAACATTGAATTCTCTTACTAACTGGGTTTTTCCGATCAGAAAGAAGCCTTGACATTTATTCCTCTAGTGTCCAGTGCCCTTGCTTTTTTCTTTCCTTTGTGTAGATTCAGATTTCTATCTGCCATTGTTTTCCTCTGCCTCAAAGACTTCCTTTCATATTTCCTGTACTGCTGGTCTACTGATGAGTGCTTTCAACTTGTGTATGTCTGAGCAAGTCTTTATTTCACTTCTGGCTTTGGAAGATACTTTCCTCTTTGGGCAGCTTTTAAGGTCTCCTGATTAGCGTGTATTCTAAGCAGTTTGAGCATGTTATTCCTTGTTATAGTTCTCTTCATGTTTTATGTGGAAAACTGTATTGTGAAGCGAGCGCCTGTTTCATCTCAGTGATTGCGATCCCCTCCGTGGAGCAGCGCCTACCCCATTTCTTCCCCAGGATTCATTCCCACTTGCCCCGCTTTTCCATGGAGAACAGTCCTTCCTAGTGTTGTCCCCTGTAAACTTACCTGGAGTCCTGGTGTAGTGCTATAGGAGAAGCTCTGGGCTGCTAACCACAGGTTTGGTGGTGCAAACCCATCAGTCAGTCCTTGGAAATCCTATATAGGAGCCGACTGGGCACTTAACCCTAACCACCACACCAACATATACTTATCTACCGTGAAGGTGAGGTCTGCCCCAGGACTCGTCATGTTTCTTACTTCAAAAGGTCAGTGAGGTTTTTGGATCTGTGGATTTGTTGTTTTGATCAAATTTGCAATATTTTTTTCTAATATCTGCTCAAATTTTGGGCGCTTCGGGTTAATGTGCTGGGCTTCAAGGTGAGTTTGAGCCACAAGGTTGGTGGTTCATCAGAACCCTATACAGGGTCACTAAACACCAGCAACAACTTCTCTTCCCTAGCTTTCACATATATTGGTGGTGTTAGGTGCCATCGAGTCGGTACTGACCCATAGCGACCTTATGCACAACAGAACAAAACACTGCCCGGTCCTGGGCCAACCTCACTACTATTGCCATGCTTGAGTCCATCGATGCTGCCACTTGGCCAGTCCATCTCGTTGGGGGTCTTTCTCTTGTTCTCCGACCCTCCGCCTTACCAAACATGATAGCCTTCTCCAGCGACTGGTCCCTCCTGACAATATGTCCTAAGTATGAGAGCCGAAGTTTGGCCCTCCTGGCCTCCAGGGGGCGCTCTGGGCTGTTTGAAATCCTCTCACATTCTTGTTGTAACTACTAATGCAGGGAGGCCCTGTATCTCCTTTCTTCTTCTTCCCTCTGGTGGTGGTGGTGGTTAAAGTGCCATTGAGTCACAAGGGTAATAGCCTATACTTTCTGTCGTTTTCATGGTTTTCAATGTTTACCTCTTTCTTCTACAGTGTCTAAAGCAAGCCTCTGGATTTCCCATTGCAGGCATTGTATTTTGCTTCTAGAAGTTTGGTTTACATTTTAAAAAACTTTTCATTAGCTCTTTGAATAAGTACAATACAGTTCTAATAAATGTTTTAATGTTCTTATCTACTAAATGTTGCTAGATTGATTTTTTTCATTGGTTTGTATTTTCCAGCGTTGTATTCCTGACAGTTTTTGATTAGATGCCAAATATTGTGGATTTTATCTTCTTGGATGCTGAACATTTATTAATCCTATACATAGGCTTCCGTTTAGTTCAGTGAGCAATTAAATTACCTGGGTTTAATCTTTTTGGACCTGTCTTTTAAGTTTTTGTTAAGCAAGAAAGTGTTGGGGGAGAGCTTGCACAGTACGCACATGTGAATGTGTCTACATGCTTGAAAAATCAGACCAAAATACCAAGGGGGGGAGATGAGTCCTGGTGTGGTGTTGGAGGAGAAGCACCAGCCACTCCTCAGAAACGCTGTACAGGAACTGACTCAACAGCACTTAACAATAACAATGACACAAATTCGTAATAATGAAAATCTCTGATCACTCTAAATAGCTCTTAGTAAATCCCATGAAATGTCTATTTTAATGAGTCTGAACAGTGGACATGATTGAGATTCTGTGGACTGACACGTGAAAGAAAGCAAGTTAGAGCTCCCATCTAACCCCATGAGAGTCATCTCTGAACAGCACAGCTTGAAGTGGTTTGCTCAAGACCACAAAGTAGGTGGTGGAACCAAGATTCAAACCAAGGTCTTTGTGACTTCAAAATCTCTGCTGTTTCCTTATGCCCTGCTTCTTGTCGGGGCTGGCATCCGGTAGGGCCTAGGAAGGAAATGGTACATTCCAGGGTAAATAGGATGTAAACACCTGACAGCTTGTCAACGTGTCTTGTGGTGCTTTGATTTTTGTAGGTGCACCGGCTTCGTTTTCCAGAAGGTTGGGAAGTTAGCAGCAACAGCTGTAGGTGGTGGATTTTTCCTCCTTCAGGTCTGTATGTGAAATGTCCCTGGGTTTATAAATTCTGCTGATTCGTTAAGGAATGTGCTGTGGAGACATGAGCTCTTAACATCATCCACTAGAGTGTCCTCAGAATTTACTTTTAAATCAAGCTTTTGAGCATGTGGGTCAGACGTCATTACTTACTGTTGTGGTTGTGTGCCGAGGAGTCGGTTCCGACGCATAGCGACCCTGCACAGGGTTTCCGAGGCTGTAAATCTTGACGGGAGCAGAAAGCCTCGTCTTTCTCCTGCGGAACAGCTGGCAGTTTCGAACTGCTGACCCTGAGGTTTGCAGCCCGATTCGTAACCACTACGCTACCAGTCATATTTAATTTCCTCAATTATCCAATGAGGACTGAAGTACATATTCCTTATAATCGCTGCCTCCCAGGGTTCTGATGGCAAAAGTAGACAGTCTGTGTTGTCTGCGAAAGCACACTAATGCTTGATCTAGTCCAGCCCTAACTCTGTAATACCGGTGTGCCACCAGGGTCCTTCACCCAAAATCTAAGGGCTTTAAACACCGCTTATTCTGTGATCGCTCGTGGATGGCTTTTGTGGAGTAACAATGTGGGAGCATTAACATGGCTGCTTACAGCTCAGACTCTCATGTGGCCTATTGGTGACGTCAAGCTTTCTAAATGGCTTCCTATTGCTTTGAAATGTCTTAATCCAAGTGTGCTGATGGTCTCCTTTTGGGGCCATGACAGTAGTTGGTACTGGGAGTGACTCCAGGAAAGCCCTTAAAATGGGATTCTGGTGGTATTGCATGGGGAAAAGCGAGGGGCCATCTAAAAGTGGATGAGGAAATTGAATGAAAATATCAAGGGTGTATTTAAATGTGCTTCCCACAGCAGAAAACCCTGTGTTGGCTACGAGGTTTGTCTGTTTCCCTAATATCTTGATCTCCTCTGATTTTCCTTTTACTATGTTCGTTTTTACACTCACCTAAAACTTTGTTAGGGGTGTTTCACAGTATGCATAACATCTAGCAGACAAACAACAACACTGCCAACAGCCCTTAAGGGTAGATTTCTACACTCAGAACTTGATGGCAGGTCGGAGGGGTTTTGACAGTCCCCTTTTGTGATGTATCCTGATAAAAGGAAACAGCCAGCCTGTGTTTCTCATTTCTTGTCATTTCATTGTGAAACTGCAGCTTGCTAACCATACTGGCTACATCAAAGTTGACTGGCAGCGAGTAGAGAAGGATATGAAGAAAGCCAAGGATCAGCTGAAACTCCGTAAGAGTAACCAGTTACCAAACGAAGTCCAGAGCAAAGCTGAGGAGGTGAGACTGCGTCAAGGATGCAAAGAATTCTGTCTGCAGAAAAATAGGGTTCTTGGGTCAGAACGCCACTTTGTAGTGTGGGTCAGCCTTAGTCAGAATAGCTTCACTTCCGAGGCACCTTTTTAAAATAAGTTAAAGTGTTTGGTGACCCTTGTTGGTGAGGGAGAATGCAAAGTGATACAAAAGAGCATTAGTACATATTTGTGGATTATCTTTTTAATGAAATATTTTAGGAATGGGGATACAGGTTGCGGGAGAGAGAGGTGGTTAGGATGTGTGTTGTGTAGTCAGTGTGATCATTTTTACCTTCGATAATTTTACGTCATGTTTTGTCTCTATGCACATATATCGCTGAATCATCCATATGTTAAATATTCTACACACTAAGTCGTGGGGATGTCCAAGCTGACAAATGCTTTCTGTGAAGGGTATGAGAGAAAACATTTTAGGCTCTGTGGGCTATACAGTGTCTGTCACAGTGACTTAACACTGCCTCTGTAGAGGTGTTAGAGGCCTCAACTAAGATAGTCACGATACGGAGGGGAGGAAGTGGCTGATACTTTGTGGATAGGACTTAACCACTGAGACCAGACAGGGAGGTGTGAGGGCCAGGGCGCTGACCAAGAGGCTACCTGAGCTTCTACCTGAGGTCAATCATGTGTATCACGATCCTGTGAGTGCTCTCTGAAGAGGAGCAAGTTTGGGGACAAGGGAGGGGAGAAAAGCAATCAGTTCAATATCAAGCAACAAGGAAGCCATTGGTGACTTTGGTGAAAAGAGTTGAGCGAGTCTGAAGAAGGAAAGATAACTGAGCAAGAGCAGTTGTCTCTAGAGATAGGGAGATTAGGGGGGGAGAGGGAGGGGAATGAAGGGGTTGTTAAAGACTTGAGTATAAATGTGGGTATGGAGGGCATAGTTGGGGTTAGGGACAGAGCTCTCTCCTGGTTCCCCATGTGGCCAACCTATTTGGTCACAAAATCTCTTTGGATAATACACAAACTACTTGACGTAGCATCCAGGTGTGAGAGAGATCATTTTGTTCATTCTGATTTAGTATATATAGGTAGTGTGGCACTGTAGGACTAGCGCTGGACTGCTAACTACAAAGTCGGCAGTTCAAATCCACTAGCTGCTCACAGCAACCCTCTACAGAGTCACTATAAGTCGGAAATGACGCCACAGCACTTAGCGGGTTAATGCAGTGTGCTCTCTTCTGTTTGCAGGTGGTATCGTTTGTGAAGAAGAATGTCCTTGTGACTGGGGGATTTTGTGGAGGCTTTCTGCTGGGCATGGCATCCTAAGGCAGACAACTTTGGGGTTGTTTTCATCCATCATTCGTCCGAAAGTGTCCATTGCGTTTTTCCAGCCATCATAGGACACTGAGTCTCTCCTCCCGTGCCTTCCTCTTTCTGTTGGTACAAGCTAACTTTGTGTGCACATTTTGTCGCTGGCTGGCTTCACACTACAGTGACTGTAGTGTTGGTGTCTATTTCCTTCTGTGGTTGGTTTTAGACTACACAAAGATGGTGGTTCCAGCTCACCAGATGCTCCTTGGAAACCCTATACAGGGTCGCTGTGGGTTGGAATCGACTGGACGGCACTGAACAACAACAACCGCAACTTGGACTTCCTGATGACGGGAGAGACAGACATTACATTCTTGTCCCGGTACACTCCCCGCGCAGTTAGTCTATAGCTCAGCAAGAATGTAGCTTTCTGCTGAATAAAACCAACTCAAGAAGAAAGGACACCAAGATAGCCACTGTAGTGTGACAACGGCCATAGACGAAATGTCTACAGATGCGTCTGAGTGCTCCAATCCAGTGTTATACTGCAGAAAGAGATCTGTGTGTACTTGGTGGTGTTTTCCTGACAACATAACAGCGTAATCTAACTTAACCTGTGAAGGTCTTTCATTTGGTGGGAACATCTCTAGGGAGTCAGAGCCGGAGGAAGAAGCTATAGCTCCTTCGGTACCAATGCTAGGATTGAGCCAGTCAAATGTTTTCACACTTCACTGATTTCTTTTCTTCTTCCAGAAGAAGCATTCAGAGGCCCTCACAGTTAAAAAGGACAGTGAAGTGAAATATTTCTGTCCTAAGCTGGAGTGAATCCCAACCCTTACCAGTTTGATTTTTTAAAAACTTTCTACACACTTAGAACCCTAACACATTTTGTCATTGTGACCTGTGTACATGTCTGCAATTACAACTAGTATAATCCTCTTTATCACTGTATTCATGGGACTACAACAAGGAGCCTTTCTCTCCTGCTGCTCCTTTTTTTTTTGTTTTATCGTGAATTATGTGATAGTTTACATGGGGGAGAACATTAGTTTTACATACATTCTGTCATATGTCGTTTCATTGCCATGGTTACAATCCCCTCCAGGCATCATCAACTAACCAATCCTTTACCCCTGTGTCCCCCAGTCTTCAGCACACAGTTACTCTCCTTCTCTGGATCTAAAGTCTCCAGCTGCTCCATCGCTCCACGTCATCATCTCTGCCTCCATTCCATGCATCACTGCTTCTCTGGGTAGAGTCCTGCTCTCCGCTCTTCTCCCTTGATGGTCCCAGTGACCTCCGCCCCTAGACTGAAAAGTCAATCACTCCCCTCCTTTTGCTACAAAACATCTGTCTTTACATTACCAACCCTCACAATCAGTCCTGATGATAATTATTCACTATTTTATATCCACATTTCATTTCATCAGCCCTGCCTAGTCAGATTGGATACTACTCACTGGAGATTCTACCTTCCTCCAGGCCCTCTGGATCTAGATTCCCTCTTGAAAGCTTGTAAGCCAGTCACTTCTTGCCTTTGTTGCCCCCCCACCCCATTCTGGGTAGCCAATGTCCAAGTTGCCCATCCTGTCCTCTCCATGTGTAGAGGGGGTGGGAATGATCCTTGCTGTAAGGATTTGTTCCCTCTTTTGAACTACTGCATCCACAGATGTAGGTCAAGTTCATCACATTGTAGCAGATTACGCTTTTTTTCTCTCCTCTTCTGGTTGAGCTCTGATCATCCAGTCATTGAAGCCAGGTCAAGTGGGGATTATCTGCAAGTGTGGGTGTTCTTGTGCATATGCCCTCTCTTCTCATCAGCTGGACACTTCACTCTCCACTCTAGTCCTCTGTGGCCGTGTCACTGACTCTGTAAGGTTGTTGTTGTTAAGTGTTGTTGAGTCGATTCCAAGTCATAACGACCCTGTACAGGGTTTCTGAGGAATGGGTGTTCAATATTCGTTGAATATAGGGATAATGACCTCATGAAAAGTTATCTAGTTATAGTGCTGATTCAAAGAATTGAGACTGAGAATGCAGAAAACTACTAAAGGTTAGTTTTACTAGGAATTAACTTTGCAGATCATCACTTGCAAAACGTGTATGTGTCTCTACGGCCTTGAATTTTAAATATTTGCCTTCTAATCTCTCTCGTAGCTCTGGTAGTATAGTGCTTCTAAATTGGGCTGCTAACCTCAAAGTCAGCAGTTCGAAACTACCAGCTGTTCCACAGAGAAAGATGAGGCGGTTTGCTCCCGTAAAGATTTCCAGCCTCAGAAACCCTGTGCAGGGTCGCTATGAGTCAGAACCGACTCCACAGCACATAACCAACAACAGTATGTAAACTGAAAGTACGTCTGCATGTGTGGAACTTTTAAGAATTCACCTATTCGCATTTCCTCATTACATCACAGCGCTATTTTAAGGCAATATATACTATCCGACGCATGTTAATGCGCTGGACTGAAAGGTCAGTGGTTCACGCTCAACAGCCAGTCCTCAGAAACCCTATGCAGGTTTCGTAACTGACTTGACAGCACTTAATAATAACAACAAAACCATAATAGTACGAGTCTCTTGGGTGCATATTTTTGTACAATATTTCTTTTCCTTTTTTTATTATGGAAAACTTGATTATATGCAACAGTCAAGAAAATAGTATAATTACCCCATGTCCATCACCCTAATGACCCTAATGACAGAACTCCTAAATTGGAATGAGGGCAGACAGCCTCATCTGTCCTGCAGAGCGAATGGTGGGTTCCAAGTGCCAACCTTATTGCCACCAGGGTTCTTTTACCCGCTTTATCAGCACACTTGTGTTAATGGGGTCTTTTGAAAGCCCTCATTGTGCTGCATCTACAGTATGGTGGAGTAGCGGAGTAGGTTACAAGTCGGCTTCCTGCTCCTGTAAAGATGTGCAGCCTGGGAAACCCAATACCTGACACTCGGCCAGAAAGGTAATGATGAGGAGAATCCTTTAGTGTCACAAATACAGAAGGTTCAAAAGGCCCAGTTGGTGCTGAGGTGGCTTTCAGCTGCTTTGTTTGCATGAATCCACATGAGGTACACACGTTTACATTCAAATGGGGTGGGGTGCCTTATAAACTCTTAGAGCCACCCTCATTCCCTTTTTGGCCCCAGCACTTATACCCTAGTTTCCCACATTCGGGATTTTGCTGATTGTGTCCCTGTGAACAGTTTGTGGGCACAAATATTTCATAGCTGCTGTCATATTCCTCTGTTAGGATGTCCATGTCTTGTTGGTCTCTTGGTAATGTTAGTGGCCATTGATGATTAATTCCTAGACCCATTGTGACGTTAGGAGTTTGAAAAGTGGTGAAATGTCACTGCTTAGGGACATTTCCTTAGTTACCTTGAGGCATGACTTTTATAGCAAGCAGAGGCACCTGCTCCGTTGTGGATTGCTCTGTCTGCTGCTGTATGGTGCCTCAGAACCCTATGGGGCAGTTCTACTCTGTCCTATGTTGTTGCTGTTAAATACCTTTGAGTTCATTCCAACACATAGTGACCCTGTATGTAGTTTTCAAGGAGTGACTGGTGGGTTTGAACCTGTGTCTAGCGGTTCTGTGCTTACACTATAGTGACATACCAGGGCCACTGTAAATCAGGACCAATGGTAGTGGGATGGGTCTTAGTATATAATTGCTGCAAATCCAACCCTTAGACGTGGCCAAGGTATAGCGTGGTCAGGGATTTCCACCTAGCACAGTCATCCTGAAGGGACATGGACACCTCATTGTGACCCATTCGGGCCATTCGCCTCGTAGCATTACATGCAGTAGTGGTAGGTCAGACTGTCGGGTGGAAGCAACCACTGGGCCCAGGTGGCTCCTCTGCCCTTTGCACTGCTGTGGTCTAAGGTGTGTCCTCCCCAGGACCTCTCATAGCATTCATTTGCCAGTCATGTTGTATTGTTACTTGTTAAGAAAGGATATAGTTGCTGGGTTGTTAAGTGGCATCAAGTCAGTTCCAACTCAGCGACTCCACGTATAACAGAACAAGACACCGCAGTCCTGTGGTGTCCTCCCAACTGTTAGGTTGGAGCCCATTCTTGCTGCCACTGTGCAAGTCCATCTCGCTGACCCTCCCCTTTGCCCAGCATGCCTGTCTCTGCTTCTGAGATGGCAACCTGTAAGCCTAGCTGGAGGGTAAAATCTTCCAGGGACTGGTCCCAACTGATAACATGTCAGAAGTATGAGAGATGAAGTCTTGTCGTCCTGGCCTCCAAACTGGCTGGCCTTCTCCCAACTCGGATTCCTTTCTTCTGGCAGTCCATGGTACTTTCAGTATCCTCCAACACCATAGTTGAAATGCATCAATTCTTCTATGGTCTTCCTTACCCGTTGTCCAACTTTTACAAACATGGGAGGTAATTGAAAATACCATGCCTCAGGGGGTTTGGGCGCACCATAGTCATACTGACACCCTTTTACCTTGAACTTTCCTGGTCATTTGCAGCACGTTTGATTCCTTGACTACTGCGTCCAAGAGCACTGAGTGTGCCTCCAAGTAAAATGAAATTCTTGTCAACTTCAAACTTTTCTCTGGAATCCCAAAATTTGGAAGTGAGTTTACCTAATTCCTTGTTACCTTTCACTCCTCATCCTGATCCTTTTCTGGGGATGTCTACACTCAGTGACGGAGGCTAGGGTGGTGAGGCAAAAGCGTTCCCAGCATTTAGCATCAACTGATGCATCTGGTAGAGCATGGACTGTCCAATGCCTTGGACCGTCCATCACCTCAGCAACAGAAGGTGCGCTATTGCGCACTACTGCAAACACCATGTAAGAGCCATGCCTGACTTCTGACTTCAACCCAAGGTCAATTCCTATGAAGCAGATGTTAGACATGCTTCTACCCTACGACCTTGTTTAGACCCAATTCTGATACCAATCATTCTTCCTACAGCTCTCTGCTTTCACATCTGGGTTCAATAATCCATTGCAAAGGCTGCACAACACACAGCAATATGATCATGGGGTTTATTAGGG